CTTATCCTTCTTGTTATAAGGCCCCTTTGTGTTCAAAATTCTCTGTTCTTTTAGCCATATTCAAACAAATGTTTATTCACGTAATAGTCCATCTGGTAGGGCAAGTCAAATCTCTAGTATCTGTCTCTGGTCTTCTTCTTTTGCTGAGTAATTTTCTAAGTTGATGTAATCCGCTTACCCAGCAGTTCCTGTATTTTTAAAAATTTTGTTGGGAATACAAAATATGAAGTAAGTAAGATAAATACTTTCTGTCTCCCAAAGTTCGATGGTTCTCCTGATAATTCCGTTTTTCTTGTTGTTATCAGAACCTTGAAGAATTTTTTCTGTTTGTGTCAAATTGTAATTCTTTTCCTTTGTTGTTTCATCAATTTAATCATACTCTTCTAATTTGTAGTCTGAGGTCTGATTTATTTGTACCTTTGTTGTTATTTCCTGAGTGTTTTTTAATTGTAAATTTAGATTGGAAATATGCTTATTTAAATCATCAAAGTTGTTTCAGATTTCCTCGTGGTTTGAGTCTATTGTCATTTGTAATTGTCCTAACATTACATATATTTCTTCCTGGAAACTATTTATCTTGCCTTGAAGTATTGCTTTTGGAGGCCCTTGATTTTCCAGGCTACGTCCTTCAGGACAAAATATTGAATGTGGCATCCTGTCATTTTTTGAAACGTATGTGATATCCATATTGTCTCCCCCCTTCAAATAATCTTTCATCAATGTTTTAATTCAAAAGTCAATTTATCAGTCAGTCAAAATTACGGTTCAGTATGTTAAGCCACTTTAAATCCTTCCTACAGTTTCTCCTCTAAAAGATTAGCCAAAAGCCAAGGTTTTTCTTTTCCATAAACAGTTCTTAGATTTAAGCAACAGTCCAGATGTTTTTTTTTCTTTCAAACACTTTTTAATCTTATAGCTGGCTCTTCCTTTGTTCCCAGCTGTCTTCAAGGTTATTTGCAATTCAAAGGAACTTTGTTTCCAGGCACTCTGCCAATTTCTGAGTCCTTACTGTTAGTGTTGTATTCTCTGAGTCTCCACTAGATGTCAGCAGTTATTTCTTTTTTCAGTTTTTCTTTCAATCAAAAAGTTATTTTTGTTATATATTTTTATAATTCCATCAAAAAATGTTTAGGGTATAATCTTGACAGTTTTTAGTTCCTAAACTAGTTCCTTTAGTTCAGAGTTCAGAGTATTTTAAATCAAATTTTAATATATTTCTTCCCTCCTTTAATATTAATTCACCGCTTCCATCGGTAAGGGAATGGGGATATAGTCCTCTCCCTTCACTTCTGGAGGTTTTCTTGCTTTAGGGATCTTTTCAAGGATTTAGACTGTAGATAGAAGAAAGAAGATCAGTACTCTCACCAATTTTGAGCACGCTGTTCACCGATGTTTAGGTTCGTGCTCTGGGACTTCGGCTGCAAGCAGCTTGGGCTAGAGTTGCTAGACGCTGATCTCACGCTAGCTTTTCTCCTGTCAGGTTCAGAGGGCTTTCCCCAGATCAAACGAAGTGATTGCTGTCGCTTCATGATCAACGGGGCGTCCCTCCTTCACAGTCACCTCTCCGGGGCAACTTTGGACCCATCTAGGGTCCCCCAAGCAGGAAGAAACTAGCCGTGGGGAGTGGAGGTCTGCTCTCACGCGGCCATGCGCTGCGGGCGCAAAACCAGAAGTCAACCTCTGATTTATTTTCATGCT